CAACCAACAAACAAAAAAAAAGAACTCTTGTCCACCATGGACTCTTGTCTAATTTCTTTCAAGATAACATGTTACACCATTACTCAAAGAACTCTCAAGCGGAAAATGTGATGAAAATATGCTGGACCACATGAGGCCATAACGCAAAGAAGGAGCTTCGGAGCAGAGCGTCGTTTAAGATCGTACTCATCCACGAACAGCAAAGAAAGCTAGCCGGGAATATGCTATTCATACTACGGCCATACATTTCTAAGCACTTTGGACTTCACTTCGGATCGATTCTTTAGCCGCTAATCACATCCATGATTGACAGGAAGTGAGAGCGTGGAAGAGCCTTTTGTGTCCTCACACAGGAAGAGGGGACTCCTTCTCAAATGAGGCTCGAAGTCGATTGCCTTACCAGAACGAAACAGAGCACCATACTTGGGAACAAGATGAAACAGATGCACTGATCTCCAAAATTGGGATGAGAAATGAAATCAAGAAATCTGTTTCGTGCGTGTGCGTGTGCGTGTGCGTGTGTGTGTGTGTGTGTGTGTGTGTGTGCGCGCGTGTTTTCCCCCCGTATATGCACACTGCTCCTTGTTGTTAGAGTTCCTTTGCTATATTTTTCTATCTATGTAGGATTGTTATCGTATTTCTATTTTTATTCTATTTGGTTTTAATCTGGGTATTATCGTTAACCGTTATTTTCTATTACCATCGGGAAAATTAACTTCAAATCACAGGCCTGTCTAACCCTTAACAATGAACTTTAAAGTGGGCTATATATTATGGAGGAGAGGTCTTTTGTGGTTCCGTATAAAATCCTGTTTGTTTCACATTACAGTCACCCTATAATGATCTGTCCTATAATAATTACTGTGTAATTGGGTCGTATATTTTTTCACCATCACAAAAATTGGAAACACTTCTGAGTACATTTGCACCTTTGTCTAAAAGACCGGTAAACATCGAATTACCGTTTAGGGAAAATACACAATTAAATTCAGTGATCATTGCGCCGTAATTATACCCGTAGCCATCGATAACAGTGTAATGTAAGAGGGGTTCTTTCAGGATTGTGCTTATTTTTAAGGGGCGAAGACTCAAAAGAACATAATGTCCAAATTCAGTGTTCAGGTGCAAAAATATTAAGGTCTGTGAACGCGGTTTTCAGTCAACCACGTCATTCTGGATGTAATCAAGCCAGGTCTTCAAGATCCTCAAAACCTTGGCTTACTACTACTCGTCAAAACCACAAAGACCCGAAACGTCTTTTCGACAATGTTTAACCCTGATGAAACCTCTCCTCCATGGTTAAATCCTAAGAGACAATCTCTCCAAGGAGTGGTCATATTATAGGGATGGGTGCAGTGTATAGGTACAAGCATTTTACCGGAACTGGTGCTGAACACAGTCTTTAAGTTAACCACTAAAAGTTCCCCATATTGTATTTGTAAACATTGCTTTGGTACAGTTGGCATCTTGTAAGTTGTAAAAGAATTAAAGGAGAGAGAGAGCGAGAGAGAGAGAAATCTATATAAATGAATATATTATATATATAAATATATCTATATACATTTTACACTTTTTTTTTTCTTCTGTTGCCGACATATTATTCATGAGTCACAGATATTTATTTAAATGATTGTTGAGGAAATAGAAGTATTTATTTATGGTGAGTGATGAAAATAAATGACCCTTGTAATGATTTCAACGTTTTTTTTTGTTGTTGTTGTTTTTTTTGTCGGAGTGACGTGGCGGGTGTGGCCGTAAGGCCGAGGATAATAAATAAAAGGAGTTTTCAAAAGCACTTCTGTGTGATTTTTTTTTTCCTTAATTGTTCATTGTTCATGCTAGCTATAGATTATGTGATTGAGATAAAGATACATGAAAAGGTTGTCACTATATATATATATATATATATATATATATATATATATATATATATATATATTGTGACACTTTTTCAATGGTGTTTACAGCATGTATCTTTATTGAAAAAAAAAATGGATTTTTTTTTTATGGACACTCAAAAGCATTTTATTGACCAAGCTCACTAGCTCGACATATTCAAAAAAATTTTGGATTTTTAGTTCTGAATTAAAGTTGATTGGTGTCATCAGTTAGGAATGCTCTTAACCCTCAACTGCTTATTTCCATGTTTGGATTTCATTTTCTCTCAGCTGCAAGTCATTTCAGTTGAACGCTTCAACCAGAGATGTAGCTAAGGGAGTGGTTTTTGGGATCCCAGTGGAACATAGCACGCATATAGCTGATGCAGTACAATACATATCTGATCATACTCTATGTACCTTTTCTGAACATCTTTATAATTATTCCCCCCAAAAATGTTATTCGATATGAAAAAATTATTTACACTGTTATTACACTATACTGATGTTCATAAAAGGTCAACAGAGACGTCATTAGCTATGAGTCCATATTTAACTGGCCCAGACATAAGATGAACATTTTATTATTTGTTTAATCACATTTTATTGCCAAGCAGCTGATTAACCAGTCACACTATAAAAAATCTGAGCAAGTGAAAATATCTTATATTTATATAGTCAACTTTATCTAGTCTTTCCTATTATAAGATGATTAAAAACCAAATATACGTTTCTTAAACTCCTAACTGATTTCAAGCCGTAAATTTTATTATTCTAATTGACAAATCATTTTATGTCTTTCTAGGGAGTACCCTTACTTCAGGAAGAGAAAATTTCCTCTGATTACTAACTTTGTATTTTATTATCATTTTCAGTGAAACTGTGTGAGATAATATGTGCCAGGATCTCACCTCATCTACTACTGTCTTTATCCACTCAAAATGCATGAGTGTGTTGCACTAATCAACATCATCGTAATTATCACATGGGGATTTTACTGGATACGTTACCTCATCCCCACCTGAAATTCACTCCTGGCTAAACCACTGGCGTTGACCACAGGAATAAAGAATGTTTTGAATAGTGTCATTCCTTACAACGAACTTTTAATTGGATGCGTGTTTTTATAGCTCTGGGGAGACTACATAGCTTTATAAGTATAAGAAAGTTGAAAGTTTTGACCTTGTGAGGACATTTGGCTGGTCCCCACAAGGAAAACTGCTTACTTCTTTTTAACACACACACACGTCTTACTCTCCTTATGAAGACTTTCCATTGACATATCAATTAACTGCATTAATAATTATTATATTACACCTAAATCCCTAAATCTAACCTTAACATTAACGTCAGTAAACAACGAGAACCGTGTGGCTCTTTTAGTTTTTTAATAAAAGGTTTAAAATGCATTTTTTCCTCATGAGGTCCTGCAGAATGTCCCCACAAGGTCAAACACGTCATATAGTCCTATCTTTGAAGTGGACGCACAGACAAATTGTACCATAATTTGATGCATTTTTAATCTTCCGGAGATTGCACTTCCATGACTTACATGACATATCTACAGTATTCTCAGGGTGTTGTTGTTGTTGTTGTTGTTGTTGTTCTAACTCCATTGTTAATCACTGTAACAATACCTGGACATTAAAATCTTCTTTTTTTTTTTTTACGGCAAATACATGGTATGTTTCCATTATGATGTTCTAGAATACTAGAAGGTTTTTTAGGTTCCTCCAAAAACACCAGGTTAATTGTAAACGTTACTTTTTACAGTCAGATTAGCATAGCTAAGAAAAAAAGTGAGCTTTCGTACTCAAGCGCATGGTGATTGACATGTATGGGGCTTTGAGTGACAGCCGTTATTGTAGCCATCACAGTAACTGGGGCTTTGAGACTGACTCCTGCGGTGTCTTCTACACAACCTGTCCCTGCACAACAAGGACCACATAGGGGAGTTCACCGGTCACGGGGGGCAAAGAGGTCGAGATGGTAGAAGATCAACTGACCCTTCTGCTTCTTGCTTTTATTGGCCGGGTTAAAGGTTAAGTAAGCAATTTCTGTAGAGTTTAGATTTGCTAGTAGCTAAAAGGAGTCTACTTTTACTTCTGATTGGTGCGCTATATTCATCCTGTAACGTCATTAATTACATGGGACTAAATAGAAGGCAGTCACTGAAGGATAGGAACCATGCAGGTATTCACTGATATGGTTTGAATTTGGAAATTAATACAAGTTACTACAATTTTATTACAAGTTGCAAATTGACAACAAATTACAAGTTTGCATCACTCCAAGTTTATTACAAGTTACTAAACATTCAATCCAACTTTACACCGTTACTATAAATTACGTCGAATTGCTACAAGTTTGCATTACCACACGTTTATTACAAGTTACTACATGTTCACCTCAATGTTCCAACAAATTACTATGAATTTATGACAAGTTACTAGAATTCTATTCAAGTTGCAGCAAATTTACGACAAATTACTACAAGCTTGCATGTTACTACAAGTTTATTAGAAATTACTACACGTTCACGCCAACTTGACACCAAGTTACTATAAATGTACGTCAAATTACTACAAGTTTATTACAAGTTGCAACAAATTTACAACAAATGACAAGTTTATTACAAGGTACTACACGTTCACTCCAACTTTATAGCTCAAATGCACTGAACTCGAAGTCGAAGGCTACATTATTCTCAGCTGTTTCAACACTAAGCATGATATATTTGTGTACATGATCTCTTGTGTTCACTTTTGGGTGTGTCCTAAATCTCTGTTAACAGGGCCTATGCGTCAGGTCCTCTTTCTCTCTCTCCACCCCGGCCCTCTCTGGCGCCTCCGTCTCCATCACACCTCCTCCTGTCAACAGCTTCAGCGCTCTCTCTCTCTCTCTCTCTCTCTCTCTCTCTTTCTTGCTTGCTTTCTCTAGCCAGCGAGGCTCCACTGACCCCCCCAGGGAGGTGACATGCCGGACAGCCAGCAGCCTTTGCCCCCTCACCTCTTCTACACAGCAATTACAGAATTCCAGCATGGTGAAGCGGCAACCATCTTAATCAAATCTCGTTGTGCTTTTGGCGACGTGACTCAGTAATGCTGAGTAATACTCAGTAAAGCCTGGCTAGATCAGTCAGTAGAGCATAAAACTCCTGATCTTGGGGTCATTGGGTTATGGGTTCAATCCCCACCTTGGACGAGACTGTTGGGCGTCTGTGGCTGAGGTGGTAGAGTGGGTTGTCCACTTATCCTAGGGTTGGCGGTTCAATTTCTTCAAGTGACTCCAAGTGTCCTTGGGCAAGATATTGAACTCCAAGTTGCTCCCGATAGCAAGTTAGCGCCTTGCATGGCAGCTCTGTAACAATGGTGTGAGTGTGTGTGTAAATGGGTGAATGAAACAGTGTAAAGCGCTATATAAGTGCAGACCTTTTCCCATAATGCTCAGTAATCTCTGTGAATGTTCTAGGGATTGTTTCTAGTTTTATTTGGTGAATTATAACTGTAATACTTTAGTTTTTTCGCTGTTAGTGACCTACATACATTTCAGGAGTGAAATAAAGTACAACATGCAAAAATTACCATTCCGCAATTATCACTTAACGTTCCATACTAAACTCATATATACATACATATATATATATATACTTCATGTACAGTGTCATGTGATATCGGAGAAGGACCAGAAACTGTGTTTCCCATCAGCCACTGCACCAGGTCGCGTGTCTCAATTCACCTGTTTCACGTTCAGTTCATTAGCACTGGTGTATAGTCACATTCTGCACTGCACGAGTTGTCTTGTGTTGCTCGTTCTGTCTCCATGTATCACATGCTCGTCTTTCCTCCATGTAAGGCTTGTGTTGTGCTTTCTTGTATACTTTATTAAACGTTTCACGTATAGTCTGCATTTTCACCCGCCTCAAATCCCTGACGTGACGTACAGATGTATTTCTTTTTTTTGTTTGTTTTTTAAGGATAAACAGATTTTCGAACAGGGATTGAAGCCATTTAGGAAAACATTCCTACAGGAAGGAATTCATACGGCTTTTTTTTTGTGGTAAAGATGTCCCTGTACGATTTCCACAGCAGGACGAGTCTTCAGGACGGAGGATTTTAGACTTTGTGGTTTCTCAGTAACATGACAAGCTGCGTTTCTTCATCTTACTGACTTCGAGAGAGAGAAAAGGGTGAGACTGATGAGGAAACGGCTGTTTATAGCTGCTGTAACATGACCGACAACAAGAGCTAGCTTGTTTACATGCATTCCACAACATTAAATGGGACTATAAATGGATGAATTGTACTTCCTTATTCGTTAGGAACACAAACACATGCACACAAAAACAACTGAAAGAGACAAAATGTTTCCTTTTGGTTATGAGGTTAAGGTTAGGTTTAGGTCTTAGACGTAGTGTTGATTAGCTGCATTAGTATTAATTACGTCAGTAGCAGGTCCTCACATGGATAGTAAGACATATATGTGGGGGTGCGGTGGTGTATATATATATATATATATATATCTGGGGTGCACGTCTCGTTACTTCACTCCCCACACTTCGGCCTGTTTGTGTCATAAATAAGTAATCAAGGCCAGCTCCCGCTAATGGCTTCTAAGAAGAGTGAATACAGATATGTGTGTGTGTGTAGATCTGTGTATATATGCATGCTCCAGAGAGACAGTTTCTGCCCAACATCACATTAAAGAAGAGCTCGACCTGGCTTCCAACAAAAAACTTCTTCCACCCTTAGTGTGCATCCTAACATTAAGTCAAAGCCACTGAATTTCTAGAGCATATAAATAATGCACATAAAGACGCAACAAGAAGCTTTTACATCTCTCCCTGCGTGGTGTTATTGGGTCTTACAATTCTCAAGACTCCCAGATTGTGGTAACAGGAGGAAGTTCATTCAGAAATCTGCTTTATGCATCAACATTATCAAATAGTCTGTTCAGTGGGGAGAAAAAAACAAAACAAAAAGAGTGGAATTACTGCGTTCGAATAAAACCCGTAAGCCGGAATTCCTACTCGGGAAGTCGGGACGGTGTGCTCGACCCAGAGTTCGGGAAGTGACATCAAATCGACATGGCTGCTCGCAGACTCGATTGTCACGAACAAAAGATGAAACACTGGAACGTCCTCGTTATTCTCCCGTTTTGTACCTCGAGCACACGGAGGCTGAAAATGACATCATTCTGAATACTTCCCACTTTCGATTTACCACCATTTCATACCAAAATACATGAAATCCTCTCATATGAATAGTTTTCATTTCCTAACTTTTTACATGAAGGTTTTCTAACTATTGCATTATTTAACTCAATTCAATTCGATTTTAATTTGTATAGCACGTTTTATACAACGAACATTTTCTTTTGTTTATTATCTGAATTGAATTGAATTGAATTACTGAACATGAGTTTGTGATGTGTTTACGTTCTCAAAACAGCAACAGTACAGTCAGAGTTATAAATTTTAACCTAGGAGGCTATGCTGATTGATTAAAAAAAATTCTACTATAAACTATAGGTGTTACAAAGTCTGAGGAAACTGCTATCTGCCCTCTTCCTCATACACGAGCTCACAGATGGCCCATGATTGGTCAACGCTGTAGTTGACTGAGTAAATGCTTTAGAAGAGAAGTCATATTTCATTTAGCGCTGACAGTGTGAGCGGCCATGTTGGCACGATGGCAAAAGCTTTTCCTAGTCGGAGTTCTGAAATTCTCCAAAGTCTCCAAGTTTCTTTGTTCTTTCTTTTCCTGACTGATATCGTTTATATTTTCAGGATACCATATTGATTTATTTGCTTCTGAATTCTTGAAACACACTGCAAAGGCATCCCATAGAACAGTTCAAATCTAAAAGCTCTAAAACTTCACTGTGGATTAATGAGACATGAGAGAACTGCAAGGGAATTGGGGAGTTAAGTTCTCTGTGACACATGTTTTAACAGACCAGCCCCCCCCAATCCTTCTTCCCCTACCCCGATCTTTTGCGCTCTCATTGCTTTGAGAGAAGGCCCATCTGCGTCGTGGTGAGTGGTTAGAAGCCGGTGGTGGTTGTGTGTTAAAAGTGTGCAAGCTATGTTTTTAAGGAGGGGTGGATTGGCTGTGGGGAGAGGTCGATGAGGATCTGCGGATCCTGCTCCTCTCATGTGGGCAGTGCGAGCAGGGAAAGAGGAAGTGGGGGAAAATAGCAGATTTCCTCCCTCTCTTAAACCGTTGCCGCTAAATTACTCTGAAATGTGTGGGTTTTTGCGCAATTTGAAAGCTGAAGTGAACTTGGTTCCCATTTTGAAGGATGGTCCAGGGTGGAAAGTAACAGACTACATGTAGTATCCTTACAGCACTCGAGTACATGGTTCTGTCTAATGGTAATGTTTTTTTGTTTTTCTAAAAATTAAACCCCTTTTAACTCGAGTATTTGTTAAAAAACAACAACGACAAAACATTCAACGTTGTCACCCTTAGGTGAGCAGGACTAGCTAGCCAGATCATCTGATCATACTTTTTACAGTCTAAAAAACTCTGTAGAAAATCCCAGTGAAGCTCCTTGAAACACGCAGCGTTATTTAATCTAATTTCCACTGAATCCCGATGTCAAAGCGGGACATCTCGAGTGACTCCTCCCCCTTTTTAAACATCCAATAACGTTTAGCTTACCTCACAGCCCAGGCTAAGCCGTACTTGATGGTTAGTACCATGGATTTATATAATGTCGGAGGCTGGACACCAGATTCTAGAGAGCATTTGATCGGATAGAAAGTCAGATGAATGTCTATATCTTCTAAATGCAAATTTTGTCATTGTTTTGGAGCGCACTAGCGTATAGATAACCTTTATGCTGACATATTCGTACTAAAGGCCACAAAATGTTTATCGATTCTGATTTCATGCGGAATTTACGATGTCACTTTGATGTTCAGTAGTGCTTGTCTGTTGTGTTAAATATATCTAAGTACTGCTACAGCCTATAGGTGATGCTCAGGATTATACGTAATGTGAGAGAGCTAATGCTAATGTGTAATAGCTAGCCTTTCTTTATATACTGTTGAGAAGGGAGGCGTTTCAGTATAGCTCACTCGGTTAGTTCATAATGGTTCAAGCCTCGGCTACAAAACCTTCTCAGATATCGACTTCTTTACCCTTATGTACATTTACTCGAGTCACCGCGTAAAACTTTTGTACTCGACTTCTGTTGGTACAAATTAAAAAAATTAACAGGAAGTACATGGGTATGAAGGATGCATATCTATAGAGTTGTAGAGTTATAGAGTCTTCAGAATGCTTTACAAGCCACTACTTAGTGCTGAGGTATGCGCTGAAAGACGGGGAGATGGGACGGTGAAATGGTGCGTGTATAGCAGGGGAGTCGGATGAGAGGGAATGAGGGAGCGAAGAGGAGGAGGAGGTTTGTTTGCAGGCCTGCTGGGTGGCTGAGTGCGGACAGCTGGAGGAGGAGTTGATGGGAATGGTATCTGCGGGGTCAGGGGTCAGCTCAGAGAGCTTTAGCACACTTCCGCTGCCGGCCCCATGGCCCTGTGCACTCTGGAATTCCACCTCCTACTCATCGAGACTCGGCGTGTATGTGTGCATTTTAACTATAACTTGGATAATCCATCTCCACCATATGTATTCCTTCATCCTTCGTCCCTCTATCTCCACGGCGCAAGTCTGTTGCTTTGCCAAGCGCTCTTTGCGCCACGTCAATCAGCCCAGTCGGTAGCGTAAATTTATGGCTTGCGCTGTAATATAGATCAGGCAAAGCCCGATCCATGAAGGCCTGTCATTTCAGCAGCGGAAACATTGAGGCGTCCGCTCCCTTCCAGCTGCCTGCATATTGAGTGGCTGCATTTTTCTCTCTTTTCTCTGATGGCTCTGGCTACAGCCACGCAAAGAGGCCAAACTATGATGGGGATAATATCTGTTATTTGGCCCCGGTCAGAGCAGCGGCCCACACTTCACTACCATTAAAGGACATTAGTGTGTGTGTGTGTGTGTGTATGTGTGTGTGTGTGTGTGTGTGTGTACAGATAGAGCTGGTCTGTATATGTCTATGGTGAAGCTTGTGCATCCAGTGACTACACACACACACACACACACACAAACACAAACACATTATGCAAGAATAGGAAGAAATCAGCTTGCAGATGTTCTCGATTGTGGTGATCCAATATCCTCTTGTATTCTGCTGTTTAAAAA